TAATGCTGAAGTATTTCAAGCATACATTCTGGAAGATGGAGGCACAGATGCTCAAGCATCATTCCTGGTCAGTGCATGCTGGTCCTGCACATTCATACAAGTCTGTAAATGAGGGCAGTTTCTTGCAGAACACCAGAATAAAGCAAACAATCAAAGAAAAAAAGGATGAACTAAATAATGCGATAAACAAAAACAAAAAACGCCCTAAAAAACATTAATCAAGCCTTAAATGTATGTTTATGGTTGCATGATAAACTAAGAAGTAAATCAACTTTCCATGATGCATAAAGTAGAAGGAACTCAAACAAGGGCAAAAAAAGCTACCAGGTGAAGGTTTGTTGACCAACACCACTCGCTGTCGGTGCACACACAAACACAAACATCAGATTACAAACTGTTCCTGTTGTGCAAAGTACGGGAAAAACGGTTTCATCCACGGTTGACCGGTTTGTCTGAGGAGTTTTAGTTAACAGCAGATGAAAGAGGAGAAAATGTGAGTAACTGTGGAGAATAAAGGAGCAACCAAAGTGAAGAAGAGGAGCAGCAGTGAGCTCATCAGGAAATGAGTCAGAGAAAAGGACAGAGGAAAACAGTGATGAAAGAACTATTCACATCTTTGCAACACAAGTAAAAGATCAGACAGAATGGTGATCATTACAATTTATTCCTCATTATTTTTATAAATGATAATTTACTGCTGTAGCTGCTCAATATAAAAGACAATTTAAACTACTGTAAAGTGCAAAAAATAAAACAAATAACTATTATACCCTTCACAGAAAAAAATCCCACCAACTAACTGCTCTCAAGAAGCAGAACTCAAGCAAACATTTCCCCCAAATGTATAAAAGACCGACGTGTTTCTGTTCGTAAGGTCGCAGTTTTAAAATGGCATTCTTTTATTGCCCACCAGGGGGCGACAGCGCCGCCTGCAGCTCCGTCTCGCTGTGACCCGATGACTCATCGGCTCAGTTGCCAATGGTGATTCCGTGGTAAAGGAGGCTGTCAATTACAAATCAGGTGACTGCTCCCACCTTTTGTGGCCTGCACTCCACGGCTGCACGTCGTAAACAAATTCTTCTAAAAGGTTTCAACTATTTTTTCCTGTTAAAGCTTCATAGTATTAAATAAATAAGCTGTTCGGTTCTGTTATTTATTCTTCTAGCGAGGAACAAACGCTTCAAAATCATATAAATACTGGAAAAGACAGAAAAAAGACAAATAATTACAGGATACAGTAAACACCGGTCAGCCTCAACATTAATCTGAGGTCATCATATCTTTTGAGCACTTTCGTTTGTGAGCTAGGACAGTAATTAAAACTCGGTCTGATGTATCTTGTAGATACTCGATCAGAAACTAAGTTAAAGGCCTTTGTTGAGTTCTCTAATTGGACAAAGTCTTTCTAGAAGCAGGCCCCGAGAGTCTGCAGCCATCCTGAGAGTGATCTAAGTTAACTGGATGTCTAGAACCAGTCAGATCGAATAAATACTGGTTAAAACTTTGCTCGGAAACACACCCTTTAAGAGCTTTTCCTCCCCATGAAAGTTAAACTTCTCCCTCCATCTTCCCTGACATGACTTTTATTAACTTTATTTTTTAATCTTTAGTTTTATTTTGTTTGTATTGTTTTGGCTTTTTAATATTTATTCGATCTGCAACAGTGTGCCACGATCCTGGGCTTTGCAGCACAGTGTTGCTCTGAAATTAGATTATTTATGTTACTTCACCTGTCGGTAATTTTGTAACTGACGGCGATCAACGAGTTTAACAGCTACAAACCAGGAAGATTCGAACTTACAGTTTTTTCCTGGTTGCTTTGGTTCGCTTGATGCGATGCTGTGTGAAGTCCTTTTAAAACATAGCAGTTTTTCTCTATGAAATGCGTTAGCTTTATTTCTTCATGCAAGTCCTCACATGCACACCTGTTCTGCACTTTCTCAGCACAAAATCAAAGTATTTATCCAAGTACATGCTCCCGGGATTCACGCTCAATTCGCCTAGTGCCGACATTTATGGCCGTTGTTATGATTTTTGTGATATTTTTTAATCATAAAAATGTTTCTTACCATGAATTTATCAGTTTACTTCACTCATAAAATGATCAATAATCACAAAGCAACGATTGAGTAAATTGCAACTGATATATAAAATCAAAGGTTTATTTATTCAAACTTGTATAAACTGAAAATTTACCAATCAAGTACAATTCATTTGATCAGATTCCAATAAATTAAATTTTTTACATATATTGGGGGGAAAATGCCAGTTTAAAAGGCTTTAAGCTGTTTTTAAAACTCACAGATTAAATTGCAAAGACTCACTTTTAGTTTAGATTTGGGGATGGACAGTAAACCCTGATCAGGAGATCTACTGGTAACATTTGACTGTTTGGCTTTACAAACACAAACGGAGCCATTACGAGATTTACTGTATAAACTATAATGGTAGGCATAAATGACCACACTTAAGCTGAGGGTTCAGCTGAGGTGCCCTGCTGAAGGGCACATCAGGAGCTGCTGAGAACATGCGAGCATGAAAAGTCCTTCAGGGTTTGATCGTGACTCACAGGAGGAAACCCGAAACATGACACGAGGTGGAAAAATGCAACTGAGGCCTGAATCTGTAAACGCAGAGGTGAGCAAGTGAACACACGCCCTCATACATCAGCACAGCGAGTGTGTGTGTGTGTGTCCGTCCTTGTGGAACCCTTCATGGACATAAAAGTCCTCGTCACTGGGGTTTGGTCTACACACACACACAGAGCATGTTAAATAGAGATACTCAGCAGAGGACACCCCTCATGGGTTGGGCGTGCGCATATCAGCACACACACACACACACACTGCAGCAGTAATTAGAGACACTTAGTGCTCTGAACCGCAGCAGCTGCTCCGCACACACACCACTAATTGCAGCCC